TGAACCAGTCGAGTCTGAGTACAAGAGGCCAGGTGGTCACTCACAGGACTCCAACTGGCTTTTGTGTTTTTTTTTATTAAACACTCAAAAGTAGAGGATTTTGCTCACAATTTTCTGATTTACTCTACTTTTAAGACCTTCATAACATGACTTACCAGCTTGCCCCAAATTGCCATTATCATGTTAATTTTTGGAACTAGAGATACACCCGTTTCCACTGAATAGTAAGCTGCAGTTTTGTTCTGAGTGATCACTGTGTTGACAGTGTATTGGTGTGTGAGTGCAGCAGACAGAACTTACTGTCACATGCTGTTCACTGTGGCGCAACTAAACACTGTCTTTACCGGTGTTCATCACTCATCTTTGCAACTTCAACAAACAGTTAACATGTTTTCAGGGGGGTTTGGCTGCTTATAAGAGATGAGGCCAAGGCCTCTGCTCTTGGTGAAGATTTAAATAGAGGTTTGGTGTCATTGGCAGTCTGGTCATTTCTCTCTCTCTCGCTCTCCTTCTACCTTCAGTGTATCTAAGTCCTTCACTCCATCTCAAGACAGTGATAAACAGAAACTTCAAGCTCCAATTTTCTTCTCACTTTTTGCTCGTTTGAAGCCTGGCTTTTCACCCCAGTGGCATTTTGTTCCATGTCCTTTTGAGATGCATATCCACTGTTAAAATGCGTATTGAACTTAGGAGGGGGCAGAATCATCAGGATTCGCTTGCTCTCTCCGCTCACTCACTCTCACTACATTTGAAGGTGGTTTGTGGATGGAGATTTGATTGTTGCTCTCAGAATGTGTGTTCAGCTCAGTGACAGATTACGAATCATTGTTTTGTATAGTTAGGCACTGCTGGAGAGTTGCAAAAAAGGTCTATGAGCTTATGGTTTTGAATTGTTTCTTTATGGAAGAGTTTTGTTTTGGATGCCTGTTTTTTTTTTTTTATTATTGGATCTAAGTGGTCCTCTGTAGTCACACTGAAATGTAAGATCAAATTTAAATGAAAAGATTTTAGATTTTTAGATATTTTGCGCAAGGCAAGTGATTTCAGCTGCCAGCGTAGCAAGCCATTTTGTTCTGGTAACACTTCTTAAATAAGTCAGACTGTCCAGCTACCAGAACTCTTCAAGCAAGATCAAATTACTTAAAACAACATGAATGCTATTTTTATCTGTAGATTTTAAAAGGCTATCACACAAGGCTCTCAACCAGCTCTCATATCTGTTGCCTTCAAGATGAAGGTCACTTGCTGAACACCTGGTCACCATTGCAGTTGGCTACTGGTGCTGTGGCTCTGAACATCACAGTGGCAACTATTGGATTGCCATGAGATTTTGGACATTCATGTCTCCCAGATAATGTTTCCATCCCCTGGGTTTTTCTACAGCAGCACAATAAATGTGACCTCAGATGATGAATCTTCCTGATTTTGGTGGCCCTCTTTTTTTCCCTTCTAGTACAACAGTTGACCAAACCTTTCCCTTATCCAGTGAACACCTGGATTGGGACAGAATATGGCAGAGCCATTCTTTATTCCCAGAAGATGAATTCCAGTTAATTTGGTAGCACTTTGACTTTTGATATTGCACCATCATTGGGTCAAAATTTCAATGTGCCCAGTAGTTTGCTGACCAAGTATCTGCAAGTTATTACATTCACATTTGCATTAATTGCAGTTTGTGCTTAGTACTAATAACAAATATTAGCATGTTCAATGTGCTAATATAATTAGCATAATTAATTGTGCCACTTTAGTTTGCTTCCATATGTTGTTTTTATCTTGAAACAAAATAAATGTCAATGCATAGTGGAGGCTGTGTAGCAGACATGGCAGTTTTTGCAGTACACTATAAAGTTATTGACAATTTTAGTGCTTCTCAAACACTGATCTATCATATACTGGTAATGCCTGTGCCACTGTGCACACAAGCCAAAATTAAGTGGCTTCAAGGAAAAACTATTTAAGTGTGTGTATTTGAGTGTGTTGCTGTGTACGTGAGGTGTTTTGTATCTGAAACACATAGAATAGGGGAAATCGCATTTTATCATTCAGTATAACCAAAATGATCACCAACACCAAAGTTTAAATGATAAAGATCATTAAAAAAAAGGAAAATCCAAAAAACAAAACTTTGGCGGTGCTGTGAAATTGTAAATAAAAATGGAACAAAATGTTCTGAAAACCTCCTTTACCCCATATTCATTTGGTAACAGTACAAAGATAAGATATGTGATGTTCAGATTAATATTTTTGGTTTAGATAAACTTACTCTGAATTTGATGCCAGTGGCATATTATAGTTGGGACAGGGGCAACAAAAAAGTGGAAAACCAATACTGAATGGCCATGATCTTTTGGCTTTCAGGTTAATCTGCATTAAAAACAAGACTTGATTCTGTAGTGGAAATCACAGCATGGGCTCAGAAACACCTCTGAAAACCACTATCAGTGAACACAGTTTGTCACTGCATCCATACATGCAAGTTACAACTCTACCATGCAAAGACAAATTTACATGGACAAGATCCAGACTCGCCACCACCTTCTCATTGCTTGAACTCAGTTAAGATGGACACAGACAAAGTGAAAACTGTCCTATGGACTGATGAGCCAAAATCTGAAATTCTTTTTGGGAATCATAGATCTTGCATCCTCCAGCTTAAAGAGGAGAGGAACCCTCCGATTTGTTATAAGTGCACAGTTCAAAAGCCAAAATCTGTAATGGCATGGGGTGCATCAGTGCACACGGCATGAGTAACTTGCACATCTTTGAAGGTCATTAATGGTTAACAATATACACAGGTTTTGTAGCGAGATAGGCATCCGGATGATATCTTTTTCAGGGAAGGCCTTGTTTATTTCAGCAAGACAATGCCAAACCACAATCTGCATATCGATCAACATGACTCCAGAATGAGTTTAATAATGCTGAAGTGGCCTGCCTGCAGTCCAGATCTGTCACTTATTGAAAATATATGGTGTATTATGAAGTGAGAAATACAACAATAGAGGCCCTGAGCTGCTGAGCAGCAGCATTTTAGATGTATTATTACTTAGAGGTGCTAATGACCACGTATCAGTCCCACTTTAGTAATTAATAACTCTAAATTAGGCTGAGACGCAGGAATAGCTGTGCAAAAACTGTGGGAACTCTTCTCTCTGAGCTCAAATTTTGACCTTAGTTTGCTTTTATTTGATTCAAGAGTTTGTTTTTTTTTCATCGAAAAAGGACAGAGATTAGAGTGTTACAGACATCTGTGAAGGTAAACCTGGCACAGAGCTGCGAGTAGATTGTACAATAACTCCAGCAGTGTCAGAAAACAACTGCTTATGCGCACGTACACACAACTCGCTTCTCATGATTGGTCAACACTCATGGCTGGGCCCGTTGTCTCCGGCGGTGGTAGGCAGTGATGTAAGCTGTGGTTTAGAGACATCAACAAAGAATGAAAGAAAGTGTGTGTGTGTGTGAGAGAGAGAGAGTTAAATACAGAGAGATTAAGAGACCTTGCTCTCCCATCGCCAATTGTCACTTCAATTTTTATTCCATTCCTCCCTCTCCTACTGCCTCTCTCTTCCTTCTTCCTAATCCACTCATCTTTACCTCTTTTTAAAGAGTGAAATTTCCCTTTCCTGTTGTTTTTTTCTCAACATAGTGGCACCTTTTTTGTAAGTCCCTGCCCTTTCTTTACAGTTGGGTTCAGTTTATTTATGTTGGCCCAGATGGCTGGTGGATGGACCCGTCACTGTAAATTTCGTGACACACAAGGAGCTCGCTTCCTGCTACCGCTTGGCTTGGCTGGTAGCCTTCTGTCTGGACTGCTTCTGTCCAAACTTGACTGCCTTGCTCGTACACAGCATTCAAAAGGAGCCCTGTCTCCTCAATCTTTCTGCGTTGTCTTTGACTGCACTGGAAGTCACCACTTCCACTGAGCGGATGAGCAGATGGTGCCTTGGCACAGTCTTTTACTAGGCGGATAGCTGTCTCTTTGTTTTTACTCCTTACTTACTTGTTTTCCTCTCATTGTCTTTAAAATGTCTGCTGTTTGAATGTATACTGTATATAGGCATGTGAGAGGAGGAGGACTGAGGTTTTGCTTATTATTCTGCTGAGTAATTTATTCATAGAATATGTCTGATCAGTCTGCTCACTTTGTACAAGGAGGAGGTTTCTCCCTCACAGAGTCTTGTCCTGAGCTGTCCAAGCCCGCAGACAGAAACCCAACAACAGACAGTGTTCATTTTGGCCTCTCATCAAGGTACGCACAGGATTAACATTAAGATTAGTGCCAGCTGATACATCCTGTCCTGTTTGTCACTTTAACCAAGGGTCAGTGCCAGACAAAATTCACACCTCAGTGTTTAATACATTGCTTTGCTAACTACGATGATAGACAGTTTTGTTAGAGTCAGACTTTCAGGAATCTGTTCCGCTAAGAGTCAAATAGTTTTACCCAGTTTGATTTTCACTCACATATGAGGCAGTATGCTCAAACTGTTGAAGCCAGCTGTGCTAAAGGAAACAACTTTACAATGATATTAGGCTCAGATGGACAAAATACAATATAGCACAACAAAGAAAGCATCTTGTTGTCTTTATTTTACCCAGTATCAAATTATCAATAAATCTTATTTTTTAACATTTGTTTGGTCTATGAAATGTTAAAAAAAAGTTGTGAAAAATGTTTTTAACAGTTTCCCATAACCTTAGATTGGCAGTTTTCACATATCATATTTTGCCCAACCAACAGTTTAAAATCTCAAAATGAGTTTTCATTGATATGAAGACGTTCATCTAATGTGATGAAGAATAAGAATGAATCTTATTGTTTTCCTCTCAGCAGAATAATAAGAATAAGAATGAATCTTATTCTTCATCATA